AGACTTTCAAGACCTAAGGCTGTCAGGACTCCAATCATTCAAGACCCTAGACTTCCAAGACTTTAAATTTTCAGGATTTAAAACTTCAGGACTGTAGACTGTCAAGATTTGAGACTTTCAGGATCCAAGACTGTCAGAACTCCAATCACTCAGGACCCTAGACTTCCAGGACTGTAGACTTTCTGGACTGAAACTTTCAGAATTGTAGACAGTCAAGATTCGAAATTTTGAGGACCCAAGACTGTCAGGACTCCAATCATTCAAAACCCTAGACTTCTAGGACTTAAACTTTCAGAACTGTAGACTGTCAAGATTCAAGACTGTCATGACTCCAATCATTCAGAATCCTAGACTTCCGCGACTCAAGAATTTCAGGACTCTAATCATATAGGACCTTAGACTGTCAAGATTCACGATTGTCGAAATTCAAAATTATCAGGACTCCAGATTTCGAAGGTATAAGACTTGCAAAACTCAAAACATTCGAGACTTCGAATCTTTGAGCCAATCGCAAGACGACTTCAAACGAACCCTCTTTAGAACCTAAGTTTCAGAGTTGACATTCGAACCACTCCACCCATCGCTACCCGGATATCCCGAAGCATGCACGCCAGCGACTGACAGAAGCGATTGACCCTTGAAATTGGCATAATTGTTGTCACCGTGTGCCCCGGCTAAGCCGACGACACCCGGTAGTTCCTTTCGCATTCGACTGGGCGCTCCATCATCGGGATTCAGCGGACGGCGCCGCCGCCTGATCGATGATCGATCGACGCGTGCTCGTGACGGCACGCTTCCCTTCCGTTTTCTGGCGACGCTGGCACCCGTACGATTTCGTCGAACCGATGAAGAAAAGACGGCCAACGAATTAAACTGTTCGTCGGGTTTTCGAAGAGTCGAGTCACGGCCGGTGATGGACGATACAGGCGCGGGAGAAAGTCGAGGAACGGAACAATCGCGGCCAGGTGTCATCGAGCCGTGGATCATTTCGTGATTGCGCCGATCGTCGAGTTTCGGCTCGAGGGGTTGACACAATGGGTTACTTTCGTTTCGAAACCATGTTCCCGCCTTCTCAGCTTCTTTATGCATCGACAGCGTGGTCTTTCATCGACTTTAAATCGCCTCGACCGCAAACACCCAGCGTGTACCGTGTTTGGAGAGAGGCGAAAGCTCGGAAACATGGGCCTCGAAAATACATTTGCAAAAATATTCGCTGATCCCGAGAGTATTTTAACCTTCATTGACAATTTGTCAATTTTATTCGCCTCTCTCTCGAGAGAGAAAGAAATATATGCTATATCGTCTTTAATTGTCTCGTTCTTTAATTTATAATAATTCTGAGAATGTATAGGTTATTATAATACCGATTTCATATCTCATAATTGAGCATGATGCGTGGTTGAGAAGAAAGTTAGGTTCGCGAATGATGGTTGCAGTTTCGTGTCAAAAATATCAATTTCTCAATTTCTTGACATTCCTGAATTGAAATTAAAGAAATACTTCGCTTTTTATTATACCGATTTCGTACCAGCCTTATTTTCCTGTTTCTATTATTTTATTTGAAAACTAGGAAAATTGAATTTTTAACACGCATTAATTAACAGGTACCAGTCACGCAATAAAATTTACCAAACACATTGTAATACTTCCGAATTTCTAATTGCAAGAATCGAATTTTTGAAAATATCGATGAATCTTCATCCCTCTATACAGTTTAAATAGAATCTGCTATAATTTTTAAATTCTATCTATATTTTATCTTTATACTCCAACCTGTATATTAAAGGGCACGTGTCGATTAAACAGAAAAATAATAGTGGTAAAGAAATAAACATTACTGGGGTATGTCAAACCACAGTATACCAATTACGGATTAAAATGTGACAGGGAACATTGGATACCTCTGACCACGATTAAATACCATGTTTCAATCGAAAACATTAAGAACAACCAGTTCCTCGTAATTCCTCCATTCCTACAGAACCTGTTCTCAATTATTTTTCACAATGGTACTCATTCCACTCACTGTCAATATTTGCACGCACCAATTTCAAACATCCACCTCGTCAAACCCTAACAATCATCACTACCTATTAACTAAAAATCTCATTAACCCTTTATAAACGAATGCCACGAAATAAAAATAATACAGGACATTGATACCTGCAATCATCGACTCAAACCACGCAAAGTAATTTATAATTTCACTATTACTTCAGATATTCCTTTTAATTAAAACCAATCTTTCTTCTTTCATTTTCCACGAAACAAAACATGAAAATTTATTTTAAATATAAAATATTTAGATACGCCGTTCCAATGTCGTGGTCAGAAATCAATAGTCAAGTATTCTCACAGGAAAATTTTGGAAAATTCGTGAAATGAATCGCGTTAGCAGTAAATATAGCACAATCGATCCAGAGACCCGTAGATGAAGAAACGAAGGAAACATGAAATATTGAAAATTTCATGATATTAAAAGAGAAATCCATCAGTCAAGTACCCAGAGCGATGATTCTCAACGCACAATTTTAAATGGAAGATTTGAAAACAGTTATTCAGAGTGTACAGTAAACGTTGAACGAATCACATCCCATGCACCGTTATTTTTTCCTCCACGAAGAGCCGAAACACTGGACGAGATAAAGTCCAACGAAATTTTCTTCGAGGCGGTCGACTTTCCCGTTCGGTAAAAAGAGCGTGACACACACACACACACACGCGCGCGCGCG